AAGCTTCCTGCCTCAGCAAGGCTCCTGGTTACGCCGAGGAGAAAGTCTCAACCTGGTGCACTTCTGGCTTCAACTCTTCTCTGTTACCTGTTTATGGTTTTTTTTTTTTCAAAACACCGAAGAGTTCCACACTTCTTTCAGGAGGCCAGAGCACCTGGCTAGAACCAGTGTTGTTTCCGTTGTTTCTATGTTTGATTTCCTAAGTCCTCTGGAGCACTGTGATTGTGTGCATTTTAAAGGAAACTTTTAGACGCCAGTAACACTTCAAATGTTTATTCTCTTTGCTCAACAACTCTGTCTAGGAATGTATCCCGTGGAAACAAATATTTCATATGCAAAAGTAAATAGGTTTTATAAAAAAATCACAGCATAATTTAGAACACTAAAAAGTTGGAAATAACCTAAGTACCCCTCAGTGGGGGCTTGGTGAAATCCTGGCACAGGCTTTCCTGGAAGCCACGAGTCTCTCCAAATGGGTGACTTGAGGTCCGTAAGCACCACTGACCTGTGAGCTGTCCATGCTGCATTGCTAAATGAACATCAAAGTTTGCACAGCGGTTGTGGGAGTTCTGTTTAAAATTATAGCTCTGGCCGGGCTCGGTGGCTCAACCTGTAATCCTAGCACTCTGGGAGGCCGAGTTGAGTGGATTGCCTGAGCCTGTGGGTTTGAGACCAGCCCAGGCAATTTGGTGAGACCTTGTCTCTACAATAAATAAATAAATAATTATACCTCTATGCCTGTACAGACAGGAACAGATACAAAACACAAAGTTTAATATGAACATAGGGAAAAGACCCTTGAAGAATACAACTAAACTATGAACAGTGAGAGGCAGAATCCCACAGGAGAAATTCCTGCCTAGAGTTGCTGAGTAGAGAAAGCAAACATTTCAATTGTCACGGAGTCTAAAAGATAAAAATAGGCGAAGAGAAGTCTTTCTCGTTCTATATTATCCATTCTGGTAATGGATTTGTAAACACAGGCGCCTATTACATAAGTGCTTTTGTAAAGTTAATTGTTTTCAGCTCACAGGACTTTATTAGGATGGAACTCTTGCTCATTGCACAGAAACCACTTGCCGAGCCAGAATCCACGCGGGTCACATGAACGGATAGCCACACGAGTTAGAGACAGTGGCATGTTCAAAACCGTAAGGAAATGTCCCGACGCCCAGGAGGATGAACTTTCATTGTTGCGGAACTGAACGACATAACTAAAACAAACAAAGCTTTCGGTAACAGTGCCCTCACCCACAGAAGGGACACTGTGGGGTGTGAGGAGGTCCCCCGGCGGCAGGTCAGGCACCCCAGAATCACTCCCTCCCGTCCTTCCCTCTTTTTCCAGGAACCAGGTCCTGACTGTGGAAGAACTGTGCGGTTGCGGTGCCTCACCGTCTAGAGGAAAATCCCAGCTCACCTGACTCCCCTGGTGGAGAAGGCTGGGGCCCAGTAGCGCCCGACCTGCAGCCACCCCCTCCCCACACCCCTCTGCACCAGGGCCCAAGGGGTTCAGGCCCTCCCACAAACAATTTGTTATTTTTCCCTGGCCCACAGATTCATTGAGCTCCACTCTCATCTAACTCCTTTCTCGTGTTTCTCTTGGGGACACACAGCACTGGAAAGTCTGAAGTCAGGAGGTTGGGTCCCAGCTTCCCTGCTTCCTGGCTCTGCAAATTTGGGTGGGCACTGTGTCTCACTGAGCACTGATTTGGGAGTCAGATCCCTACCGCACAGAAGCGATGACCTTGAGCAAGTCACTTTCAAACCCCCTGAACAAGGTCCCCTCTGTTGTATGGGATAATAGCAGGGCTTGGTGGGTAGGACTGATGTGACGATGCCATGGAAAGCGTGTGTGAAGCAGCCAGGTGGCCCGGCACACCGTCTCTGCTGGACACGTGGCAGCCAGGTTCTCATTATCCCTAATCTCCCGAAGCCTGGTGTGGTGTGACCCACCTGAGGTCCTGTAAGGAGAAGGCCTGAGACGCCTGGGAGCAGAGGCTCCCATGAGATAATCCCGTCTGGAATGTGGGCTGTTTATTCCCTCCCAGGGCAGATGCAGGCACTGCCTCGCCCAGCTCCTGCCATGGCTGAAGGAGAGGATCTTACAGGCCCTGGGTGTTTTCTGGCACCAAGGCCCCTGGGAGGGTGGGCTTTGCAGGACCAGGCCCCCACAGCCGTTGGGGATTTCCCTGGTGTGCCTCAGCTGCCCCTGAGTTGGAGGCTGGGACTGTGAGTCAGAGCTGCCCAGGGTTCTGTGCATGTCCCCACTCCGGCCACAGCCACAGACTCCTGGAGGCTGTCCAGGGAGGCCTGCAGCTCCAAAAGCAGGCCCTCCCTCCCATCAGCTGGAGAGGTCCCTTTTCCAGTTCAGAAACAGCAAAGGATGGCCCCAGGACACACAGAGAAGAGGCGACGACCTCAGGCTGACACCCGGTCACCTCGAATGAGCCCTCCCAAAGGGTCCAGGTGAGAAGGCCCGGAAACCCCACCTGGGGCCAAGACCCTTGCACTCTGCCTGCACCCCAGCAGCTCTCTTGCCTCCAGCCCTGTGCTGCTGCCAGCGTCCCACGGCCTGGGCTCTCCAGGGAGCCCACAGCCTGCACCGGGCTGGCCAGCAGAGGCCAGGAGACCTGGTCACCTGCCCCACAACCACGGAGTTGTTCAGCGGGGAGGTGTCCAGGGCCTGTGGGTCTACACCCCTCTGCCCAGCCTAGCTAGACTCTGCCCTCAGCACCACAGCCTGGACACACTTCCCCCTTCCTCTGTTCCTCCTCCTCCCTCCCCCGCCCTCTCTCCCCACTTCTCCCTGCTCTTGCCCCTCCCCCCTCAGATTCCTTGTCTGCCCTGCTCCTACCTGGGACCCACCGCGACTCAGCTGGACCTGGGACCCGGGCTCCGGCAGGTGCTTCTCCCTGGGCGCACCGGCCTCAATCCAGGCCCATGGCAGAGTGGAGGGGAAGGCAGGGCAGGTCCCAGCTTAGAGGCAAAGCCAGGGCACATGAGGTGGGGATGGATCAGGGCACAAGGCTCCAAACGGTATGCAGCCCTGCACCCTCCTGCCCAGCTCAGGGCCTCTCCCAGGCTCCGTGGAAACAGAAAAGCCTCTCTTCGCACCAAGGTCTAGGTCATTCAGACATGGGGGGCAGGGTGGGGTGGGGGGAGAGGAAATCTCCATTTCACAGAAGGGCGAGATGAGACTCAGAACTGAAGGGACCATCTGGGCACCTGTCCCCGGGGACAGGGACCCAAACCCGCCAGAAACCACAAGGTCTGTGAGTGAGAAGCACCAGATTTAATATTAAAATCTTTCCCTTAAAAAAGTACACAGATAGGAAAATTGACAGCATACAAAATAACACTTCTGCCGTATAAATGTAAGTTACTGTGAGTCCTAAAAGTACTTGTAAACCTAGATGATTATATCTTTGGTACCGTATGAGAGAGAGCCCACCACCCTCCTTGAAATGGGCTTTGGGGGTCCTGGGCCAGGAGGGTGCCAACCTGCAGTGGGGGGCTGGAGCCGACAGCAGAGCTGCCCTCCTCACTTCCTGGCCCTTCCCTGCCAGGGGTTGGGGCACAGCCCCCACTCCCCAGGCACCTCCAATGTCCCCTGGGCTGGGGGCAGTGACAAAGCCACCCCCGGGGCGCTGCCTCAGGGAGGGGGTAGCTGGTGGGTGAGATGGCTACTCCCAAGGGTCCATCTCTCAAACCCCTTTCTTGGGCCCCCATCTGAAGCTTCCTGTCCTTTATGAGACAAAACTGTCCCCGCTGTCCATCCTGTCCACAGCACAGACCTCAGCAGGTGCTGCACGAGGTCATCTGACTTGACCCTTTGCCCCTTGCCCAACATAGCTCCTGAGGTCACGATGGGCACTGAAAGAGACCTTGTGGGGTTCATGTGTCCCCAGGGCAGCTGTGGGAGGCTTTCCCAGACACTGGCTGGCACTCCAAGCCAAGGCCTGGGCAGCTGCATTCTTAGGGCTTCCAGGGACTGAGGAAGGGGCACAGTTCCTGAATCCCCAGAGTTGATGTGTGGTCTGGAATCTCCGCAGAGCCCCACTGATTCCCAAGATGGTTGTTTAGGGTGCATGGCCTTCCTTCATCTGGACAAAGGTGCACACTCCTGGAATATTCTAGAATGTTAGTGCTGGCCAGCCCCTTGGAGTTAATGAGTCCAACTTGCTCATTTTTCAGTGAGGGAGACTGAGGCCCAGAGCAGGCAAGAGATCCCTCCGAGGCCTTGTGGCAGGCTCAATGCAGAGGCAGGGGCACATATTCGTGCTCACACGTGGACCCTTCCGCCGGCATGTCAACTCCCTTGACACTCGGGGCCCGTCTGGCCCTGCAGACTCCAGTGGGCGGATCAAGACAGGATGAGGAGGAGAAAGCCAGGGCCTGATGGGCCCAGAGGACAGGAACATGGGCACGTCTCTGGCTGGAGTGTTCCAGCTGTCTGGGCTGGGGATGCAGGCCAGAGTGTCCTCACTGGCTCAGCCTCCACGACCCCAGCCCAGCTCGGGCCCAGAGAAAGCAGACACTGGCATGATGGGGAGACTGGCTCCTCCTGGATGAGGCAACGCTGCTCACAGCCTGGTCCCAGCCCAGCCAGGAGCCAGGGTGTGAGGGCCTCTCCCGAGCTCTGGGGGCAAAAGTGTGAGGAGAGAGCAGTGGCCCCTCAAAGACAGCTGACTGGGCAGGGCAAGGCTCCTTTACGGCCTCGTCAACTTGAGGACTTCCCAGGGGGAGGCTCTCAGATCGTGGATCATGACGCCCAGTGCTCCCAACTTACAGATGGGGAAACTGAGTCCCCTGAGGGAATGCTGGTTCGGACACTTGCCCCCACCCCTGAGGCAGAGGGCTGGCTGTGGCCCCTGTGGTTCTCCTGCCTCCCTAGCCAGCCCCAAGGTCTGGGGCACAGCACATCAGGGCAGACGCCTTCTGGAGGGGACGGAGACCCGGCCCGGCCAGGCAGGGCTGGGTGGGGCAGAGGTTGCTCCGGGAGGGCAGGGTGGGGGCCAGTCCCTACAGGAAGCTGTCCTCTGCGGCGGCCCGAGCCCCAGGGCAATCTCCATCCTCCGGCTGCTCCTGTTCTGGCTCCAGCGCCGCCTGGGGCTGGGGTTTGGGCTCCGGCTCCGGCTCCGGCTCCTCTTGGGGCTCCAGGGGACTGTCGCAGGAGATGGTGGAGGAGGTGTTGGCTTCGTTCAGGGTGGAGCTGGAGAAAGACACAGGCGTGTGAGGGCAGGGAGCCCAGGAAAACAGCATGAATTGAGTGCTGGCTGCTCTCTCATCCTCGTAAAGACCCTGCCACGAGGGACGTGTGGCTCAGAGAAGCTATGCCGCTGCCCGCTTCACCCACCGGAGTGAAGAGCTGGGCCTCGGGGCAGGCCAACCGGCTGCAGGCTCACTTGTCACCCCCTGTCAAGTCCCTGCACTCCTTGAGGCGTCTGGCACCTCACTTTATCCTCACCACAACCCCCAAGAGAAGTGCGTCTGCTGTTTGCATCTTGCAGATGAGTACCCAGTGGCTGGGAGGGTGATACAGCCCATCTGAAGGCACAGAACAGGCCAGTGTGGCGCCCAGGTCATGTGGGTCCCAAAAGTCGTGCCCCAGGCCACGTGTACCCCGAGCTTCTTCCTCTGCAAGGCTGGCCTGGGGCCTTGGGTTGTTAACAGGCTGCCTCGATTGCTCCTAGCTCACACAGAGAAACTGAGGCTAGCAGAGATGCAGTCCCAGGCTTTGTAGCAGCTAGTGGCAGAGCCGGGACCACGCTCTAGCAGGGGGGCTCCTGCCACTTTATCCCAGGCTGGATGTTGCTTTGGGGTGGGTCTGGACTCCTGGGAGCTCCTCCCTCAGGCAGGGGGATTCTGTGTCTAGCTAACAGTGGAACTTGCTGTAAAGCCTCCCACACTGCACGGGACGTCGCCACATCCCACAGCAAGGGAAAACCACAAGTCTCCTCCCCAGTCTGTATTCTAGCCTCAACTCCTGTGGGCACTTCTGCCTTCTACAGACATGCAGGGCTCCCGGGGGCTCTCAGGGCCCGGCTCAAGGACAGATCACAGGCCAGTAACAACAGGGGTGGCAGGGAAGCCAAGTAGGTTTTCTTCTCTTCTTGGGGGCTCAGACAGGGCCTAGAGATGGGAGATTGTAGGTGACCCCTGGGGACTCTCTTAAAGGAAACAGCTACCCTGCAAATAAGTCCCAGTTCACATTTTCTCTTCCTGGCCTGCCCTTGGACCTGCAGGGTATCAGAGGTCAAGTCCTCTCTTCTGTTCACTAGTAGACATCAGTTCCCCCTCCCCATGCCCGGTGGCTTCTGAGGCGAGCCTGACACCACCCACGCACACACGCACGCCACGCACACGCACCCACGCACGCCACAGCACAGGCTGTGGCCCCGGCCAGAGTGGCTACCTGGCAAGGCTGGGGGAGCCCTCCAGCGGGCCCTCGTCAGCACCCTCGGGCTTGGGGTCAGGCAGGGGAATGATGTAGTCATTGTCGCCCTCATGGGGCTGCACAGCCGTGTAGAGGACAGAGCTGACGTCCAGGGGCGAGCGGAGGCCGTGGATCCCGGGCAGGCGGGCCTGAGACCGCAGGATGGCAGGGTGGTCACTCCTCAGGAACTCCTCATCCACCTGCTGGTACTTCTGCTCCAGGTAGAGAGAACCGAGCAGCAGGGACGGTCAGAGAGGTACCTTTAGGGGTCACGCGACCCAGCCCACCCCTATTTTGTTTGTTTAAATAATCTTGCCGGGCGTGGTGGCTCATGCCTGCAATCCCAGCACTTTGGGAGGCAGAGGTAAGAGGATTGCCTGAGTCCAGGGGTTTGAGACCAGTCTGGGCAACACGGCGAGACCTCTTCTCTACAACAAATCAAAAAATTAGCCGGGCTTGGTGGCGCGTGCCTTGGGGTTCCAGCTACTCAGAAGGCTGAGGCGGAAGGATCGCCTGAGTCCAGCAGGTCAAAGCTGCGGTGGCCGTGAGGGTGCCACTGCCCTCCAAGCCTGGCTGACAGAGTGAGGCTGGGACTCGAAAATAAATAAATAAATAAAAATAAGTAAATAAGGGTGGCATCTCATCTGTTGCCCAGGCCGAGGAACAGTGATGTGGTCATAGCTCACTACAGCTTAGACTTCCTTGGCCTTGAGTGATCCTCCCACCTTAGCCTCCCAAAGTGCTGGGATTATAGGCATGTGCGATCACGCCCAGCCCCCCTTTGTATAAAAAGGCAATCGTTGCTCAGAGAGGAAGGGGATTTGCCCAAAGCCACACCGCTGAGCTGCCCTCCTGCCTCCTGTGGCCTCTCACAAGATCAGGTGAGCTCAGGACCACCCAGGGAGGCCACCCATGATCTCCACTCTCCCCCACTTCAGAGCAGACAAGCCCAGCTTCTCATCTTGCCTCAGCCCCTTTGGTGGGGCCCCAGTTTCCCCTGTTATGGAGACGGTGATGACTCTACCACATCTCCCTAGTCCCTGGACCACCCCAGGATGGGGGTGGGGTGGGGAGTGGACCGAAGGAAGGAGCTGTGTCTGTGCCAAGGCCATTCGCATCTCCTTTCGCCCTGACCCCAGTCATTTGACAGGGCAGGTTTTAGGGCCCTGCTGGCTCCATTGCCTTGGACGAGCCTGGGACAGGGCCAAGTAGGCATATACCCAGGGCCGTCCACACTTCGGAAGGAGGGCCACACCTGGCACGGGTGCACAGATCTGAGGGAGGCTGCAGGACAGACAGCTGCGGGCCCCTCCCTGCATCAGACCAGTCCACTTCCATGTAGGATTTATTTCATTTCCCAAAGCTCAGCATGGCTCCAACAGTCCCTCCTCGTACCAGCAGGGAAACTGAGGCCCAGAGAGGGTGAAAGCTGGTTCTGTGAATACCAGCTCATCACACAGAGCCTGTACCCAGCATTTGACTTCTGCTGCAGCACTCTCTGTTCCCCAACCTGCTCTGCCTCAACTTACCTTTTTGTACCCCTCGCCCAGTAACCTCTCGAGAAGTAGCACCAGCTGGGAGAAGGGTGGCCGGATCTCAAACTTCTCTTCCCAGCACTTCTGCATGATCTCGTAGCTGGGGAGGGGAGGGG